CCACAACTCCTTTGTGTTCTACTCATGCATATAACATCTATGCATAAACTTGGCTCGGATGCCTGTTGGGGAACGCAGTAATTTCAAAAAAAATCCTACGCACATGCAAGATCATGGTGATGCATAGCAACGAGATGGGAGAGTGTTGTTCACGTACCCTCGTAGACCGTAAGCGGAAGCGTTATGACAACGCGGTTGATGTAGTCGTACGTCTTCACGATCGACCAATCCTAGTACCGAAAATACGGCACCTCCGCGATCTGCACACGTTTGGCTCGGTGACGTCCCACGAACTCACGATCCAACAGAGTGTCGAGGGAGAGCTTTGTTAGCACGACGGCGTGATGACGGTGATGATGAAGCTACCGGCACAGGGCTTCGCCTAATCACTGCAACAATATAACTGAGGTGGATTATGGTGGAGGGGGGGTACCGCACACGGCTAAGAGATCAATGTCTGTTGTGTGTTCTAGGGTGTCCCCTGCCCCTGTATATAAAGGAGCAAGGGGGAGGTCGGCCGTCCTTGGGGCGCGCCAAGGAGGGGGAGGAGTCCTCCTCCTAGTAGGAGTAGGATCCCCCCTTTCCTAGTCCAACTAGGAGGTGGGAGGAGGAAGGAAGGAGAGGGAGCGAAAGAGGGGGCGCCGCCCCCCCTCCTTGTCCAATTCGGACTCCCAAGGGGGGACAGCCCTATGGCCCCTCCCCTCTCTCTCTCACTAGGCCCATGTAGGCCCATTAGTTCTCCCGGGGGTTCCGATAACCCCCCGACACTCCGATAATTATCCGGTGACCCCCAGAACTCATCCGGTGTCCGAATATAGTCATTCAATATATCAATCTTTATGTCCCCACCATTTCGAGACTCCTCGTCATGTCCGTGATCATATCCGGGACTCTAAACTATCTTCGGTACATCAAAAATCATAAACTCATAATACCGATCGTCACCGAATGTTAAGCGTGCGGACCCTACGGGTTCAGAAACTATGTAGACATGACCGAGACACGTTTCCGGTCAATAACCAATAGCGGAACCTGGATGTTCATATTGGCTCCTACATATTCTACGAAGATCTTTATCGGCCAAACCGCATAACAACATGCGTTGTTCCCTTTGTCATCGGTATGTTACTTGCCCGAGATTCGATCGCCGGTATCAATCTCGTTATCGGCAAGTCTCTTTACTCGTTCTGTAATGCATCATCCCGCAACTAAATCATTAGTCACATTGCTTGCAAGGCTTATAGTGATGTGCATTATCGAGAGGGCCCAGAGATACCTCTCCGACAATCGGAGTGACAAATCCTAATCTTGATCTATGCCAACTCAACAAACACCATCGGAGACACCTGTAGAGCAGCTTTATAATCACCCAGTTACTGTGTGACGTTTGATAGCACACAAAGTGTTCCTCCGGTATTCGGGAGTTGCATAATCTCATAGTCATAGGAACATGTATAAGTCATGAAAAAGCAATAGCAACATAATAAACGATCAAGTGCTAAGCTAACGGAATGGATCAAGTCAATCACATCATTCTCTAATGATGTGATCCCGTTAATCAAATGACAACTCATGTCTATGGCTAGGAAACTTAACCATCTTTGATTCAACGAGCTAGTCAAGTAGAGGCATACTAGTGACACTCTGTTTGTCTATGTATTCACACATATACTAAATTTCCGGTTAATACAATTCTAGCATGAATAATAAACATTTATCATGATATAAGGAAATATAAATAACAACTTTATTATTGCCTCTAGGGCATATTTCCTTCACTATCGTCTCAGTTCAAACACATGTGTTGTACCATGTCCTCCTTGTACAAAGCCCAAACACTTCTTGACATAATGCAGTCCAGTAATGCATGCCGTCAACTGTCTTCTGCTCTACAAAGTGCACAAACATGAGTTGGTGACATGTTATGATAGTGTAGTACGTCGCTCGTCGGCAAAGAGTGTTGCACGAGGTGCCAGGTGAACACTTTGAGCTTTGACGGGACTTGCATGGACCATATAGAGGACCACCCCTTCTTCTCGATTGCATCATTGGACACATTCTGTCCTCCCTCTAACCATGCCTCCATGCTCGCCTTATGCGGGATATCATCCTGTACGCCGAAGATACAGAGAAAAGACCACGAGGATCCTCCGCCCAAGCCCATAAACCGTCCACTTGCCTTGTACATAGTGATATATTGAGAATAGACTCACTTGTGCTGTGGTGCCATTGCCCACTCGACGAATAATACCATTTTGCTAACGGGCGCCTGCAACGCACACCCCCTGCCGCGATTTGGGCCGGCCCAGTTGCTTTCCTTCTCTTTTTCAACGTAGCAACCACTAGGGACAAACCACCACATGTGACAACTTATTCATTTTTCTCCTTCTATTATTTCTCGAGATTATGATCGGTTTTCTCATTTTGGGTATGATTTTCTTAGTTTTTTCCTTTTCCTTTTCTTATCTTTTTCTTTCTTTCTTTTTTGTTTCCTTTTTCTTTTACAAATGTGTGTACTTTTCTCAATTTTTGGATTTAAAAAAAAATCAATGAACTCTTTTTAAAATTTGTGAACCTTTTTTCGGAATCGATGAACTTCATTTGAAGTTTGACAAACTTTTTTGAGTTTGATGAACTTTTTTGCAAAATTGATGTTTTTCAAAATTTGATGATCTTTTTTTACAAAATGATGAACTTTTTTCAAATGGAATGGAATTTTCCCAAAATCTATGTACTTTTTCAAATTCGATGAATTTTTTTCAAGTTTGATGAACGAATTTTGAAATATGATGAAATTCTTTTTGCAAAGTCAATTAGTTGTTTTCAAATATGCAAACTTGTTTCTCAAAATTGATGAACCTTTTTTTCAAAATCAATTAATTTTTTTTTCAAAATCGCTGAACTCTTTCTCAAATTTGTGAACTATTTTTCAAAAGCGATGAAATTATTTTCCCAATTTGTGATCGTTTTTATTCAAAAATGATGAACCATTTTTTATAATCGATGAATTTTTTTAAAAAAATTGCTGAACTTTTTTGAAATTTTGTGAACTATTTTTTGAAATGAATGAACTGTTTTTCAAAATCATTGAACTTATTTTCAAATAAATTAACGTTTTTATTTGAAAAAATGATGAACTACATCTGAAAATAGGTGAGCATTTTTGTGAAAGTTGATGGACTTTTTCCAGAATTTTGAAAATTTTCAAGTTCGTGGTTTTCCCTATTTTTGGTGAATTATTTTTCAGGTTTTTCGTTTTCTTTTTTTGAAGTAATTTACTGTGGGTATATTGTATGTTATATGCAGCACAGAAAGGGTCAAATAGTACTTATTCCTTATAGCAAACAACAACACCAAGTTAGTTTATTTAGTGGTTAATGCAGCAGGACGTCCATATCGTGGTGCTAATTTCGATTCCTTGTTCTCGCAGCTTTGCTGGAACTTTTTTCTTCACGTTTTCATTTCAGCAAGTTGCTGGGCCGGTCCACTAGGCGGCGCGTGCGAGCGATGATGCTGGCGCTTAAATCGCCGAACAGGAGCACCCGGACTTTTGGTCCAGTCCAAACCAGGCATACAACAACACGGCCTTATGACCACAGCACCAGTCGGCCCGACCGGTCCTACATTTTTCGTTTTTCCCAACAACGCAAGCCAATGTACACAAAACCAACCACTCAAAAAAATGTACACAAAACCAGGAATTTCTAAAAAAAAAGTACACAAAACCAGGAGACCTCCTAAAAAAAAGGAGAGCTCCGATTAAAAAAAAATTCCTCACTCAAAAAAAGGAAGAAAAAAACAATCTAGGACACCTCCTATGCCGCGTGGGAGCTCCTTTTTTTTTGCGGAGTTCGTGGGAGCTCCTATTAGATGCTCTGTGCGTCCAAATACCAGCCACCCACACAAAGCGCTGCTACCTAGGACAGTCCAGTTGGACACTAGACAGTTAGATGCTCTGTAGCAATTGGGTTTTAGTCGGGTTTTTTCTTCAAAGTATCAAGATTTTCTTATTAAAAAGTGAACTTTTTGAAAAGCGCAAACAATTTTAAAGTTTGTATACTTTTTAAAAAAATTTGGACCATTTTTTTGAAATCCTTGTCATTTTTTGAAATTGGAATATTTTTGAAAATGCAAACGTATTTTCAAAATTCTAAATGTTTTTAAAAACATGAACATATTTCCAAATTTCTACACATTTTTATTTTTTGAACATGATATCAAATTTCTGAACAATTGGGACCAGAGGCCCGGTTTGTTCAAATTCCTTTTGAAACATGTCCGAATGTTTGATGTTTAGGATTGGATGGCTGGCTTTCATATCACTGTCCGCGGACTCTTCCGGACATGTCTGTTTTTGGGGTACGGTTGGAGATGCCCGTATGCAACAAAGCTTCTAAAACTAAAAGTAACTCCAAAATGGCTTCGGAGGCCATCTCTTTCCCACGCGGAAGCCTCTCTGCCTACACTGTCTTAGTTGCCTATGAATATGTTTAGCCCTCTCTGAAGGCTTCTGTTTGCAAAAACAAGAAAAAAGAAAGAAAGAGGAAATTATCATTTTTGTGGGAGAAAACTAGCCAGCATTTTTTGTCCCTAAAAAAATACTAGCCAACATTTCCTGCACGACTGGATCTTTGCATCCGTGGCCAGTGGCGGGGCACCCAGACAAATGCCAAATTGTATATCCAGTCCGTGCGTTCTTTCCGCCCGGAATCAACGGAAACGCAGCAGAGCCAGGCCGCCGCAACCTTCGCTTCGCTTTCCGCAAACGTGACCGCGAAGCCGCCGTGAAGTCGCCGCCGCCTCCAGCTCACTCCGGAGTCCCGAGGCCGCAACAAGTCTCACCCTCGCGGCCTCCGCCCATTTCAGCTCCATCGGCCGCGCCGCAACGCTCCCTGTCCGAGCCAAGCCGCGCCGCGACGCCTCCGCCCCTAGCCTAGCCAGCCTTGACCCCGTCGGAGCCTCAGGTAGATGCGAGAGAGGTCGCCTCCCGCGGCCGTGTGATGGGCAACACGTGCGGCGTCACCTTTAGATCCAAGTACTTCTCCAGCTTCCGCGGCGCGCCGGAGCGCCACGACTCGGGCTACGCGCCCGTCGCCGCCGCCGCCGCCGATGCCGATGCCGACTCGCCGCTGGGCAAGCGGCCCTCGCGCCCGGCGGCCGTGGCCGACGCGGCCGCCCCGCCCCCCGCTGCCGGCATGCGCCGGGGCTCGCTCGCCCCCGCGGAGCTGACGGCCAACGTGCTCGGCCACCCCACCCCGAGCCTCCACGACCACTACCTGCTCGGCCGCAAGCTCGGGCAGGGCCAGTTCGGCACCACCTACCTCTGCACCGACCGCGCCACCGGGGCGGACTACGCCTGCAAGTCCATCGGCAAGCGCAAGCTCATCACCAAGGAGGATGTCGAGGATGTGCGCCGCGAGATCCAGATCATGCACCACCTCGCCGGCCACCGGAACGTCGTCGCCATCAAGGGCGCCTACGAGGACCAGGTCTACGTCCACATCGTCATGGAGCTCTGTGGCGGCGGCGAGCTCTTCGACCGCATCATACAGCGGGGGCATTACAGCGAGCGCAAGGCGGCCGAGCTCACGCGCATCGTTGTAGGAGTTGTCGAGGCGTGCCACTCGCTCGGGGTCATCCACAGGGATCTCAAACCTGAAAACTTCTTGCTGGCCAACAAGGATGACGACATGTCGCTTAAGGCCATCGACTTCGGCCTCTCCGTCTTCTTCAAGCCTGGTGAGTCACTTCAGGCAAGGCAACAAAATTTAACTTCCTTCCGCTGCTGCGGAACCCAAATGTTTCGTTGGTGGAATTGAGATCACAACCACCCACAAGATATACTAGTATGGAGGCAAAAATTACAATTCAGTGTTACTGTGTTAAAAAAATCAGGGTTATCTTTTAACTTCATCATTAACAGCTTCTAAGGTGGTTTTCAGATGCAACAAATAGGAGCCACTTTAAACTCCACCCCTGTTCCTACCCTACTATCTCTTGTCCTATATGTTCACTTTGTTAGGAGTAATGTGCATCTTATCGACCACTTATTATATTCATTTTATTCAGAATTATCTTATGAACAATTCCTTATGCTGTTTTATTTTTTTCAGGTCAAGTTTTCACTGATGTTGTCGGAAGCCCTTATTATGTAGCTCCAGAAGTGTTGCGCAAACGTTATGGGCCAGAAGCTGATGTATGGACAGCTGGTGTAATTCTTTACATACTACTAAGTGGTGTACCACCATTTTGGGCAGGTAGAGCATTATGTTTGATTGTTAACTCTGATTAATACTAGAACTCCTTTCTAGCTTTTTACTACTGCTCTAGGCTGATTTTCTGAATGTACTTATTGCAGAGACTCAGCAAGGAATATTTGATGCAGTATTGAAAGGCGTTATTGATTTTGATAGTGATCCCTGGCCTGTTATTTCTGATAGTGCAAAGGATCTCATAATGAGAATGTTGAATCCTCGCCCCGCAGAGCGTCTAACAGCACATGAAGTTCTATGTTAGTTACTTCCACCAGGACTCCAGATCTTGTTTCTTAATTCAGGTCCTTGGGTGAATATGTTGTTCTGATACCTGTTCTGAGCAGTGTGGCCATCTCGTAATGCCTCAAGACATATATCTGCACAAGCACAACATTGTTTTGGTTGATGAGAAATAAGATCTTTTTCAGAGTCTCATTGACTCATGGAAACCTCAATTTCTAAACTCTTGCAGTTGGGAATTTCGAACTTTAATCTGTATGGGATTGTTCTCAGATATGTACCTGTTATTATCTAGTCCCTCCGTATCAATCTATAAGACGCCTTTTGACACTATGATAGTGTCAAAAATCCGTATCAAAATATAAGACGCCTTTTGACACTATGATAGTGTCAAAAAGACGTCTTATATTTTGATACAGAAGGAGTATTAGTTCATCTCATGCTTGTTTAAAAGGGGAAAACAAACCATTTAGTATGTAAAAAACAGAGCAATATATATGTACAATACATGTACAATTGTGTAATAAACATGTAAAATAATATTTTTCTTACTTGTTCAGGTCACCCTTGGATTTGTGATCATGGAGTTGCTCCTGATCGTCCACTTGATCCAGCTGTCCTTTCTCGCATTAAGCAGTTCTCAGCAATGAATAAGTTAAAGAAGATGGCTTTGCGAGTACGTACCTTTAGCTGATCCTATAGTAATTAACCATGTGCAGCAGTGAAGTTATGTCCATTTGCTTTATAGTCGTTATAATGTTCATTGCTTTTTCTCATTTTGTGTTAACTTTATCATCACAAATATCCTTTATTAGTGTTTCTACTGATGTATGTTTTAAAGAAATCAATTGGATTCTCTTGTCTTCTGTTGACTTATTGTGACACTATATTCAACAAATAATGTACTGACGTTACCCCCGAATTACCAGTCTGCTATTTACTCAAGATAACTACTTTGTCTAGTGTACAATTAGTAATCTAGTCGTGCGACTCTTTTTGCATTTCATTTTGTTTTATCTTATGTGGCACAATTGCTTGGTTTTGTATTAACAAAGGATTTCCATTTATTCAGGTAATTGCTGAGAGCCTTTCAGAGGAGGAGATTGCAGGATTAAAAGAAATGTTTGAGGCAATGGACACAGACAATAGCGGTGCAATTACATATGATGAGCTGAAAGAAGGCATGCGAAAGTATGGTTCAACACTAAAAGATACTGAGATTCGTGATCTTATGGAAGCGGTAAGTTGGCTGAACATCAGTAACAATGCTCGCTTGGACTTGCTAGCTTAAGTACCTTTCCTTTTGTTTTTAGTTCTTCTATGAGGCATCTTAGCTTCTGACTATGAAAGGGCCATAAGCTTTGGCCACTTGGTATTTGTGGGCCTGTCAGCTGAGTAGGAAACATGCAATGCCATTAAATTATTCTGCTTCCCCAGTTTTATGATGGTTTGCAGCTTGTGTGAGACTATTCTCAGCTTGAATGAATTGGATATAAATATCTTTATATTGAAACTAGTTCGTTTAACTGATCTATTCCAGGACTTCGAAATTTAACACACTTTTCTTACTTTATGTTTACCCCGTCTGTCTTTGTGATCTACAGCTGAAACGTATTTTACTTAGAATACTCAATCATTTTATTTCCATGGAAAATGTGCTTATGTGCCTATGGTGCAACTTCAGTTCAGTTTTGTCTTAGCCGGTGCTCGACTCCAAAGCTTTTTCAAAAACTCATTTAGCTCTTCAGATTTTACGCATTAGTCCCTACAAGTTTAAGGTACTTAAACTACAGGTCCTAGCTCCTGGCACCACAACTTTCTTGTCTGTTTCGTTACTGCCCCTCTTTCATACCGAGCATATGTTTTATGATGCAGGATTTTAGAATCATCACTCCTAAAAGGAGTAACTTATGGTCTTACATGTTATTTGGTTTCATTTGAATAACTTCAGGCGGATGTGGACAACAGTGGAACCATCGATTATATAGAATTCATTGCTGCTACATTGCATCTCAATAAACTAGAGCGAGAGGAACATCTTGTGGCAGCCTTTTCTTATTTTGACAAGGATGGTAGTGGTTACATTACAGTGGACGAGCTCCAGCAAGCTTGCAAAGAGCATAACATGCCAGATGCTTTTCTTGATGACGTCATAATCGAAGCTGACCAGGATAATGTAAGTCAAATGAAGCTTATAGTGCCGTACACTTATAATACTTTTAATGTTAAATTAGATTGCATATGTTTCTATTAGTTTGTTATAACTCACACATGTAGTAGGGTAGGTATATGCTGAATTATAAGCAGCTGGAGTATCTATAGCCTTTAAATTGTGCTACATGCTATAGCTATCCTAGTCCTAGTTCCTAAAACAAGACTGTAACGCCTGGGTGCATAAACCTTCAAAAGCTCTCTATTGAAAATGTCTACAGATGTAACTTGGGGCATAGATGCTCGCCAAATGATACCATATGGTGCAATGATAGACAAGTACATCTCACTAATTTGTCACTGTAGAACCTTTGAACTTTGATGTGTTGCTGCTTGTTTGCAATAGAGCTTTGGTCTAATTGCGCTTGTCTGTCTCTTGTTCTCTAGGACGGTCGCATTGATTACGGAGAGTTTGTTGCCATGATGACAAAGGGCAATATGGGAGTTGGGAGGAGAACAATGAGAAACAGCCTGAATATAAGCATGACTGAATGAGACTCTGCTATACGGGACACTGCCTGCAATTTTTTGTACGCTGCCAGTTGTACGTGTGGGCATTCTAATTGGTGGTCCTCTAAATCTAACTCCTGCTATTTCGTCCATGAAATGTATGGGGGAAATCTCCTATATCTTTTGTGAACTGGGAATGAAATGTTCATATATTCCTTTTTTGTTTCTATTGATTTCTGCAATGTTTTTTTATTTCTGCAATGTTTCATTCAGAGTTTAGTTTGGTTCATCATGTTCAAGTATTGTATCCCTATATGTCCGGGCGGACGGCCGGGTCACTGGCAGGTCACAAAATCCCGACCTAGACGGTCTTCTCATACTGGCTCTATATGTTGGGCTGACTGGCACCCCTCACATCCTACCCAAATTTAGGGAGGATATGGGGAGGCCCGGACGCGCTCGGGCGCGTTTGACACGTCGGATTTGGTCCATGCTGGCCCAGCTGACACAACATATATTCGTCCCGTATCTGCATCCTGGATCAAACCTAGCCAATCCACTCCACTTGGTCAAACCCTAGCTGGTCCACTCCACTTGGCCCCAAATCTCTGTTCCGGTGATCTTCGGCCTTCTCTGGGACATCATCTCATGCGGGGACGAGGAGGCGATGGTCGTCCGCCGCTCACGGGAGGAGTGTGGCCGACCGAGTTTGGAGTTGATCTGGCTGGAATCCATTGCGTCGGCGCAACTGGCGCTTGGATCCGTCGGGGCTGGAGGCTCGAGGCACGTACCTTCTGCCTTGCCGGACGCGGTGAGGTCCTTTTGCCGCCCCATCTTCGGTGCAGAGGTGTATGAGTGTTGTAGGGACTAGTGTGCCTGCCGTGCGAAACAAAGGGTGCGGGAGGGCGGTCCGTGCCATGGCCGGACCCCCCTCCCCCGCTCCCAAAGAGGAGAAGGAGGACAATGACTGGTTGGGCAGCTCCGGCGATGAGCAGATTTGGCTTGATCCATTTTGTGTCTTCGAGCACCGTGACAAAGATGCCAAGGGCACCGACAAGGGTAAAAGCAGCCGTGGATGATGTTTCTCCATAGATAGTATGTAGGACATGCCAATTTTTAATAGGCCGATGGTATGTATTGATGTAGTAGTCGGATGCTACGTGTGGGATAATGTAGATGCATGTGGTTGTATGGATTTGATACCCGGTTGTGGAAGTGGATATTTAATGAGTGACCGGTCACTCTTCACGGATGTTTGAACTTCCGAACTAAAGGGAGTGAATTGCAAAAAACCACCACATTTGGGGCACCGATTGCGGAAAACCACAGGGTCGCTAATCATTTGCAAAAAACACCGCACATTCAGTAAACTTTTTGCAGTGTGCACTGATCGACCGATTTGCTTCGTTTGAGTGCGTTTCCGATAGCTTGGGCCTGGTTTCCTCCTACGTGGCATAACGGACCTCAAACGGCGCCGTCTGGTCGAGACGACTTGGTCGGCTCGCATCGGTCGGGCCGACCGCGCCACCCCCACTCCAGTTCTCCCTCACTCGCTCCTCTGCTCTCCCTTGGTCTTCAATGGCGAAACCTGGCGGCGGCGTCGGTGGCGGCGGCGACGCTTCCGCTGGCAATGCTGGTGGTGATGGAGATCCACTCGAGCTCTGCGGGAGCTCAAATCCTTCTCAGGCGGTGCCTCCTCCCCAATCCCTGGACCCACAGTACGCGGCGGCTAGGGCATTTGCCAAGGTGGTGAAGGCAAATCCGACGGGCAGCCAACACTTTGCATCCTCCTTCAGCGGTGTGGTGTAAGCCATCCATCCTCCCCCCTCCTCAGTGTTTCCCTGTTTCCCCGATCTAGATTCTAGGGTTAGGGTTCTAGGACAAGTACAGAGTTGGGGATTATGTTGTAGGTATTTGGTTTGGATTATTGGGTTACAGTAATGGTGGTGAACTGCAAATTAGCTTGCCCTTAATTATTGAGTCATGCTAACTGAATTTTATCTGTAATGTTTGGGTTCTAGGTACACAGTAGGTATTTGGTTAGGATTATTGGGTTACAGTAATGGTTTGGAGTGCAAATTTGAACTGGTCAGTAGTTTAACATAATTGCACATGTTAGTCATGCTAACTAAGTTGTTTTTAAGTTAACTGCAGCACTAGTTTAACATAACTGAATCTGCACTGCCCAGTCTTGCTAACTAAGTTGTTTTTAACTTAACTGTAACACTAGTTTAACATAACTGAATTTGAACTGCTCAGTCATGCTAACTAAGTTGTTTTTAACTTAACTATAACAATAGTTTTAACTTAACTGAATTTGAACTGCTCAGTCACGCTAACTAAGTTGTTTTTAACTTAATTGCTCAGTAGTTTTAACTGCAATTGCACACTAGTTTTGAGCATAATGGCTCAGTAGTCAGTTGTAAATGAGATTTAGCTGAATTTTAACTAAATTGTTTAACACTAGGTTTGACTAAATTTTATCTATATTGTTCAACACTAGTTTTATCTGAATGTTAACAACTATGTTAAATGAACTAGGTTGGATGATGAAGAATGGGAAGTGAGGTTCCATTTCTTTGATAGAGATAATTTGGAAAGAACCATTTGCTTATCAGACATAACATACTGGAATCTTATTACACTAATAGAGTTGGAAGGCTTTAGTTCAAGAGATTATATGTATTATGTCAGAGATCCAGGAGTTGGGGTTTCAGGAATGGAAGAATTAACTGATGATGACAAGGTGGAAGAAATGTTGGATGGCATATGTAGTAAGGGAAATAATGTTGTTAACATTATAGTTATGAGAAGTGATGCACCCACACCAGCTGACCTGAACATTGGTCATGTTTATGAAGAGCAAGCCCCTTTGTCTGAATTAGGTGTACCACTTGTCTATGAGGTAGATACTTCAGGAGTTCTTTTCCCTGGTCCAGTGAAGCCCCAACCACAGCATGTGCAGGTCATGAACACCCATGAGATTTCATGTTTGAAGCTTAAGGGTCCAAGTGAACTAGAGTTTGCATTGGACTATGGTAATGAGAGGCATGAGTACTTCATGAAGACAGACCAAGATTAAGAGAAGATTGAGCAGATGATGGAGCAGAAGAGGAATGAAGAGATTGAAAAGTTTAGGACCAATAAGAAACAAAAAGAGAAGTACAAGGCAGCAAAGAGAAAACTTCCAGAGCTGCTTGCTGAAGAGTTCATTGATAGTGATAGTGACAATGAGATTTTAGAAGATGAAGACATAATAGCTAGGCTGGAGGCAATGAAGAGGCATAGAGCTGATCCTCTCAATCACTTTGAAGGAGACACTGATGTAAAAGAGCTTTATGAAGCAGATGAGGAGGAGTTGGAGCATGAATCATGAGAGGAGGAGGTAGGACATGATGAGCAAGCTGAGGAGGGTAGGAGAGGAGGAAGCACTATAGGAGGAAGTAGTGCAGGAGGAAGCAGTAGCACAAGAGGAAGCCAGAGGAAGGGGCCAACAACCAGATCACAAGCAAGTCTTGACAAAATCATAGAGCAAGATTGGATACCTTCATCTGATGAGGAGAGCAACCCAGGTGACTTAAGTCAGGATGATAATGATGGTGCTCAGCTTCCAACAATGAGGCAACCAAATGATAGGAAGAGCAGGGCCAGAAAGCAGAAGCCTAGGGTTTGGTATGATGAGAAGAGGGAGAACCCACAAGAACAATTTGTGAAGAAACTTTGTTTCATAGATGTCCAGCAATTCAGGAGAGCACTTCTTACATTTCACATCTCACAAAATAGAAACTACTCTTTTCATAGAAACTGCTCAGATAGAGTTATTGCAGTTTGCAGTACAGAAGACTGTCCTTTTTTTCATTGCTGCTTCTCAAATTGCACATGAGAAAACATTTTGTAAGAAGATGAACTTGTACCACAATTGTGCTGTTGTAGGAGAGAGCACCAAAGTGACTGCAAGATGGTCGGCACATGAGTGTGAGGAACAGTTGAGGGCAGACATAAACACACCAGTCTAGACCATAATAGCCAATTTGAAGAATAAACATGGAATAGAAGTGTCCATTCACATGGCCTACAGAGCAAGGAAAGCAGCTAAGAGCGTTGTCCAAGGAGATTAGAGGGCACAATACACAAGGATAAGGGATTACCTCCAAGCTGTGTTGGATACCAATCCAGAAAGTAGATGCATTGTTACAACAAAGCAATTGAAGGCCCATCCTAGCATAAATCCTAGATTCCATGGCTTGTTCATGTGCCTGAATGCTTGCAAAGAGGGTTTCCTAAATGGTTGCAGACCCTTCATATGTACGTATATTAATTTGTGTGAACACAATCATTTATGTTGTCCTAGTACTAATGTGATATTTTCTGCTGTAGGTGTTGATGGCTGCTTCATTAAGTTGACCAGAGGGCAGCAAATACTGGCTGCAACTGGTAGATATGGTAATAACAACATCTTTCCCATTGCATTTGCAATTGTTGACAAGGAAGACACTGCCAACTGGTCATGGTTTCTAATACAACTGAAATATGCTCTTGGTGGTGAGTCAGGGAAGCATGGCTACTACACTATCATATCTGATAGACAAAAGGTAACTCATACACCATAGTACTTACGAATAGTGCAAATTAGAACATGCTTAGTGCTTACAAATAGTGCAAATTACAACATGCTTAGTACTTACAAATAGTGTCTTCTGGCATCATATTCAAACATTAGTTTACTTTCACAGGGACTTCTTAAAGCAATAACCAATGTATTCCCAAATTTCCCTCGAAGATTCTGCCTTAGACATATTTATCAGAACTTCCAAACAGCTGACTTTAGAGGTGAAGAGTTAAAGAAATACATGGATCAGGCTAGTTATTCATATATTGAGCATGGATATGATCAAGCAATGGATGGTATGAAAAAAGAGTGTCAAGCAGCTTGGAAATGGCTTAGTAAGATACCAACGCATACATGGGCTAGACATGCCATGGACACAAATTGTAAAACTGACTTGGTTGTGAACAACATAAGTTAAGTATTCAACAAAATGATA